GCACATCCTGGGAGGTAGATCTTGCCACTCCCTGCGTGCCAGCCTCGCTCACTCATTCAGGATCTTTGTTCATATCTCGTCTCACAACTCGGAGACCAAGATGGTGGCCAGTTCGTCACAAGCGGACGCTTCGGGCTACTTGCGCCGAAAGAGTCTGAGCTCTTATCAAACAACACATGGGATGCCTGGCTGGGCAATTATTTCAACGGAGATCTCCAGCCGGGTATTCTCGAATTGTACGCCATAATTACTCATGACAGCGATCGCTGTCCGAAGTGTTTCAATCCCGTAACACATCCGCTCCCAGATAACCTACAACGATGGTGAGCGTCCCTCTCTCATAGCGCTGCGAAATATTGACCCTATTAACAGTGCATTCGTTGAGTGCCAATTTATGTTTCTCGTAGTATATCGGGAGGCGGGTGTCAACTGGGGACCATTATCAGACATCCGACGCGACGCAAACCTGCCTCCAGGGGAGATCCCGGACCAGTCCGCGGTTACTTCGGAGCCTGTCCAGCAGCGTATCATTGGTCAACCGGGTGAATTTAGTTATCCGCCGAGCACCTCGCGTTCAGCTGCGTCCTCAGCGTAAATATGTGAAACTACTTACCCCTTTCTAATCTGACTCACTATTAATACAGACTGCCTGTGCCAGCCAAAGTACAGGTCATACGGCGGAAGCCGTACCGGGCAGACCCGGTGGACGAGCCACCCACATCTCAATCTATAGAACACATTACTATGTCCGCCTCTGAACCGAAGACACCGAAGACGTCTTTCAAATTTCTCATAATCCCGTATATCTTCCTCTTTTTAGGGCTTCCCGATCGCTATTTTCGGGAAGCAATCCAACTTGAAGCTTTGGGTGACGATGGCGCTGGACGAAACCCTTGTCAACGGTGGATAAATGAATGGACCTATATTGGAGGCATCGCATTAGTAATCTCGAGGTGAGGTTTCATCCATGTCTTAGTGATACATACTGTACTAAAACGTTCAGTTCGACAGAGGGGGTGACGCGTGACGGAAAATTCCGGTTCGACAATTCGACAAACCGCATTTTTTGGCGTGACCGAGCGCAAAATTTCGACAATCCGAGCCGAAAATTCGTCGAAATCGCGAAATTTGGGGATTTTGGGGTGACGAACCGGAAAATCTATTCGACAGTCCTCGGGGTGATGCGTGACAAGCACCAAAGTTGGCAATCGACAGCCCCCCCAGTGACGCGTGACTGTCGAATTGAACGTTTTAGTACAGTAGATGTTCATTGTTGACGACTTATTCAGTCTCCTGGTCGCCATGTTCCAGGTACCCAGTAGTGGTAACGACCCCATAGTTCACACGCTCGCACTTTTGTCGGTGGTCTGCCTGTGTGCCGGTGCTGGTTACGCGGCCACATTGGTGATGACGTTTGGGAGACTCGAAACTGTAGCCGAAAGACGTCTCTGGATACGCGTGTGTTCAAATTCCATTGGTTGCTTCTTAAGCTTACCTCGAACCTATCCCCCTCAGCAGGCGACGCGTGCGATGACCCAGAATTCCTTCTGGAACCCGTGGATTATGTTGGCCATGCCCCTTGCGTGGATCAGCTGGTATGCCCCCCGTACTGTTTCCGGGGTTGTATGTAGATTAATTGATGCAGGGGTGTATTTTACGGAGTTGTCCTCATCGGAGCTTTTATTTGGCGCGATGGGGCGACCAATGAGCCAGATGAAAATTCCCGACTGTCGCCACACCAAGCATATGGCCCCAAAGTGGTCGAGACATTGATATATGTCGTCAGCTTAGGATACTTTGGGTTGATGGTCAGGACGGTGAGAGGGATTGGTTTAGCTCGTACAATCTAGGCTATTCAACTCTTAAGCCTCCGCTAGAGGCACCAAAACATGTTTTATATGAGGCATTTCCTTTCCCTTTGGTCCCCACAGTGGGTGCACTCGAGGTGGCATTCAAAAACCCCAGAGGCTCCGAGTCGTTTGATTTGATTGTGTTACTAGCAATGACCCGTCTGAAACATGCTCAGCGACTCCAGATCCAACTCTTGAAGCATACACAGTCTCCCAGATATACAGCGAATCCAACTGGAATCATGCTATGTGTCTTGTCAACAGCGTTGACCGAGGCTTCAAGCCTGGCATCACATTTGTGTTCAACAACCCTCAGTCATTGCTAGCATTCCTCACTTTGGATCTTCTTGTGCAGGTGACCTCTGGGATGATTTCTGCGACGGTTTGCTACTGATAATATCACCGCTGTATTTAAATTAAAACAGTGTAGTCTCTTCCGGCCTAACAACCCGAGGTTTCTCGCCAATGTGGTCTAGTGGATGCAGGCTAGGCGCGGGATTCAATCGCTCCGGAAACACCTTGAACCTGATCCAAACAAGTATCACAATCTTCGCGGGTGGAGGAGTTTATACAATCTCTGGTGTGTTGAAGCTCATTTACCTCCTGTGACGCGACCGATCGCGAGCAGAAGTCCTCGGGATTACCCCCCAATCTCACTGACGCGGAGGTTTTGACTCACCGTCTCGAACTGCCCGGCTCTGTGCGACTCTGCGGCGTTCTTTCATTTCGGGAAGGACGCCCACACACAACTCTTTACTTGATCGTTCCATCCGCATTTTAACTTGAATGGAACGATCTAGGTAGGTAGGTGGGTGTATCGGGATCAATAAAAAAGTATTCATTATCCACACTACCCATTTATTGAGACCACAACGAGGAAATAACAGCGTCACCGTATCGTGCACTCAACTCGGAGTGAGAACACATAGAGTGAGTAAATTACGTAAGGCAGTCAATACACCCCGCTCCGACATACGCAGCCAGCCCACCCCGCGCTTAAAGCGGACGTACACCACCCCCCCCGACGGTGACGTCCAGCCCGGCATGCGCCGCCCCGTTGCAGCGCATTCAGCACCAGCCACGTCATAGTACACCACCACCCTCGCCGAAGGTAGCGCGCGTCGCCACCCCCCCGGCGCGCGCCGCGCCATCGACGGAGGGGTAGCGGAGCACCGTCGCCGCATCCCGCTCGACATACGCCGCCTCGTCTGCCGCCACGTCGCAGCCAGTCCACCTCCTGCGCACTACGGGCCGACGCGCTGCCCCACCCCTTCGAAGACAGCACGCGCTGCCACCCCCCGGTCGTCGATACGAGGGGGGAGCGGAGCGCCGTCGCCGCGCTACGCAGGAGCGCGCGCACGGCAGGAGCACGCGCACGAATAGCGTGCCAACTCCGCAAGCAAGACACATCGGTTCCGAGTCGAGTCCGGGGACACCAGTGGCCGACACGGGCGACATGATCAGCGGTAGAAGCCGCACGAGCACGAACAGCACGCCGACTCCGCGTCGAGTCCACCGACGACTCCGAATTCGAGCGAGCGGGCGACACGACGCGGTGCGCTCGCCACGACCAACCCAACACGACCGCCACGACGCGCATGCCTAGCACGACCGGCACGGGCACGACAGCGGTAGATGGCACCCCCACTGCTGCTGCTCCCGACCACCGCAGGCACACGCACTCCCCGCCGCCACCAGCGCCGGGGATGCGGGAGACCAGTCCGTGGGTAGACTCTGCGCCTCCCCTCAGCCGCAGCTACGGGGCCCGTCCGCGCGCGAGGGCACGGACGCCAGATGCCAGAAGACGATGATGGCGATGCAGGGCACGACAACGCGGGCGGCGCGCGATACGTACGTACATAGGTATGCGCTTGCGCAGAACAGTCCCAGAGGAGATGCCTCATACCGCATCGCTCGTACCGCTCGCCCGCACAAAGACAAAAAAATAAAAAATAAAAATAAGAAGGGGCAGAATGGTGGAGCGAAACGAGATGAGACGAATATGGGTGTGGAGGCCCCTCGTGCACCGAGTCTTCACGCGCGGTCTCCAAGCATGCAGCCGTAAAGCGCTCCTGGAGCGTACGCCCCTCGCATGACGAAGTGGCCTGGTCGCACGATAGGCGCTGCCCACCAACCGCCCGGTAAAGCGCCTACTGTCTGCCAGCGACTCGGAGGGAGTCGTAAAGCGCGCGCGGGGAAGTCCGCGCTGCGAGAAAAGGAGAGGGGAGTGATACCCGCGGTGCGGTGGCACCGGGTACGGCGAAAAACAAGAACAAGGAGGGGTACGACGAATGGATAACAGGAAGGGATGAATAGCAGGAAGGGAAGGGAGGGAATATAACAGCCGGCACACGACACTTACCGCTGAGGAGGTCGGCCCAGGTCGCGACGCCCATGCGCTCGCCTGCGTCCTCGGTCTGCTTCACCATCTTGAGCGTCTCTTCGAGCAGAGTCTCGCCCGTTTGCCGCGTAGACAGCACGGTCACAGGCCGCTCCGTCAGGGGGGTCCGCCGCTGTATGTATCTTATCGATATCGGGGGTCAGCATACCGTCCAGTATACCATGTATTTGCTTACACTCATCGGATCCCTTACCCTTCTCCTCAGCGCCAGCTCCATGAGTATACACCCCCTCAGCGCATAGCTGATGTTGTCGTTCCAGAAGCTGAGGTACCCCTGCTTGTCCTTGATACCGAGCAGCAGCACCTCCTCCATGAGCGTGAGCTTCGGCACGCTGCCCCCCAAAGCGGCGCTCTCCTGCGAGGAGAGAAAAAGATCGCGCGGGTCGTAGGCAACGCGCGATCCATTGGCGAAGTGCGCCGCCTGTCAGGCCCAAAGATTCGAGCTGCGCCTCGGGCGATTTTTCTGCGGGAGGGGCAGAGGCGGGCGGGGGTGAGGGAGCGGTGTCGTCGTCGTCGTGCGTTCTTGTTGTCGGGGCATTGGCGCGTCGGCGGGAGAGCCCGGAGACAACCCGGAGAGAGAGCTGCGTGTGGCGGTGTTCGGGAGAAGCCGGGGGCGATGCGGTCAAAGCGGGTGAATTATATTACAAAGTGGGCGTGATAATTCAAGGGGCGTGAGCGGGATTAAATTTGCGTAGTGGGTGAGGCTCCGCAGCTTGTTCAGAAATTGTGAAAAAAAAAGGGATGGAACCAATACAGGCGGGGAATCGAACCCCGGTCTGCCTGAAATGGCGTCCGAACCCACATTGAAACGCAGCGTGCACCATGCACCACCGGTGCTTATTCTCATCCTTCTGTGTGCTGCTTCATACAGCTCTAAATAACCGAATGGCGAATGGCATCACAGTAGGTCAGTTCTCGAGGTTGGATCAACAACATCGGCTATACATAGCTAGGCAGTGCCTCATGTCTTCAACCACACCAATACCTCTACAACACTTTCCCAATAACTTGTCGATATAATCTTGGCCTCAGTAGTAAACAAAAATATGCTGAGGAGGCGTGAAAACAGCTAGAAAGAAAAATACAGCGCTTCAAGTGCATGCACCAGTGGGGAATCGAACCCCGGTCCGCCTGAAACGTTGCTCGTCAATCTCCGCATTTAATGGCAGCGTGCACATGCACCACCGATGCTTATACCTCTCCTTCTTAACCGCTCTTTACACTGCCCTCCATTACACAGTTCGGCAATATAAGGGTTGAACCAGTGCCAAAAGTTCAACATCGAGGGTGGGAGGAAAGCACTTGGGCGGTGGGAGGGATTTCCACAGCTTTTTTCAGTCAGTCGCTGTAAAATGAACAAAAATAAAAGTAAAAAAATGGTGGGATCTTCCAAATGCACCGGTGGGGAGTCGAACCCCGTCTGCCTGAAATCGACTGGCGCGTTCCCATATTTAACGGCAGCGTGCACCACGCACCACCGGTTCTTATATCCATATGTCTTTCCCTGATTTCTTCAGCTCGCAATTACGCAATGGTCAATGCCATTACAGTAGTCTATTTCTTAAAGTCGAACCAATATTAATGCCTTTACGACGCCTTGTTATAATATCTAGGTCCCCAGGACAGGGCAAAAACGTGCGGAAGACTAGGCTTTAAAACAGCTGGAAAAGACTTCTGATACGGAATGCACTGGCGGGGAGTGGAACCCCGGTCTGCCTGACATAAGTTATACCGAAGTATTTGATGACAGCGTGCACCATGCACCACCGGTGCTCATTCCCTCCCTTATTCACCAAGAGTTATACAACTCTAAATCACACTGTGGCCCATCGTACTGCGGCATTGTGTGATTCACACAATGGTCAATACGAATTTACAGTTGGCTGATTTCTTCAAATTGGAATTCTCCCGACATGTTCCCAATAAAATATCTACGTCTCCGTATTAAACAGAAATGTGCGGAGGAGCTGAAAATAGCTAGAAAAAAATACAGTGCCCCAAAATGCATGCAACCAGTGGGGAATTGAACCCCATGTCGCCGTGATCCATTGACGCACATCGCAATTTTTGGGCGGCGTGCACTATGCACCACCGGTTCCTGGTACCGATGTAGGTTACCAGGTCTGAAATCAAAAAGTCGAAATTCGTGATGAACTGCAACCTGTGGTTACCGTATCAAAACGGCCGATTTTGCGGACCTAATCGGGTTGTCATCGTATGGGTCTTGCCGTGATGGCACTGATTCGTCGTCGTAATCGTACACCATCCTCATCTGCACTTCCTGTAGGGTCTTGTATTTAATTCTTGTATGTATACCGGTTTATAAACAGCTGTTTATAAACCGGTTTTTAATTGGTTTGGTCCAAATGGTCTGTTTTTAATTATATTCGGACCTCGGGCCGCCGGGGCCGGGAGCAATTCTCGCAGTGTTTTTGACTTTCAATTGATTTCCAGTAATTGTCCGGCAGGGGAAAACGGACACACAAAGGAGGAATACGGCATAAACCAAACTTTAAAAGGCACCCGTGCATTTTTTTCGACGGCAATGACGTCGAAATAACGTGCTCAGAATTCGTTTGCAAGAAATATTGCAATCTGAGGCCAATGGCGAGATGTCTTGCAAGGAACAGAGTCGAGGGCACACCGTAGGTCCAAATTTTTGAGATGTCGGCCGACTCGGCCCTCCCGCAGCTGTTTTTAGCCGATATACCATCCTTGTTTATAAACATGTTTACAAACAGGCTGTTTATAAACAATGTTTATAAACCGGTTTTTAATTGCTCAGGAATTATATACAAGACCCTAACTTCCTGCGTCTACCCTTCCTGTGCCCCTAAGAAATATGCCTCATCCCCGTTCCACCGTCGAGACCTTCCTCGATCCCGACCCTGAGCGCTGAATCTGCTGCCCGACGATTCTGCGTCCTTGCTGATGGACGACGCAGACTTTCACGTCACTTACCACGTTTCCGCCTCAGCCCCAATCGGCTGGGTTCATACCACGCCCACCACAATTGTGCCGGCCGCAGTTGTATCGCACTCGCTCACTGTCGATCCCGCCCCCGCCGCCGCGCACCCTATTTCCAATGGCAGCACGCCTGTTCCAGGGGCGTCAGTGCCTTCAGCAAGCCAGATCACCCATCCCGTAACAACCACAACTGTCGCGGAGGATGGTCCTTTTCATCCATCCTCCGCCGTCCTTGGAAAGAGGCGGTTGACAGACACCCGGTTCGACCATGACCGCAACACCGCCACAGCTTCCTGTAAGTTACACGCCTTCACTACTGCACTGTAGCTCACTATCTGCAGCCTCTATCTCACAGCATCCAGTCAACAATAGTTATCCTGTACACCGTCCAAGTAGCCACGAGCCCATCCAATGTTCAATGTCTGTGAAAGCCTGTGTGTTGTCCAATGTCCAAGTCCCGTCTTCTCTTGAGTCCAATTTGATAATTACCTCCACCTTGAACTTGTGGTACACCCTGTCTGCTGTTAGTTCAGAAGTACCGGTCCAAACAGCGGGGGATTCTATTTCTCATATAGCCGTATCCTGCACTGATATTCGAAAGTTCTGTGAGTTGTATCAGTTTCTAGAATTGCCTCACCTGGCTGCCTTCGTTGAGTTGCACCGCATACCAGATACCCAAAATACCAGAACCTTGAAGGTGCAGCGTCCGCTCGTTCGGAGTGAACCTGAGCGGGGAAATCAGATGCCGCTCCCCATCAAGCTGTATACTCATTGTAATGCATAAAGTTGGATGGAGTTTTCGTGGGTAATACTGGTTCAAAAAGGTTCAAAAATATTTAATTGAACTCTGTCGTCTGGATCTATATGAATTTTGCACAAAGCCTGAACGCAGAGTGCAATTTCAAGTTAGCCTCATTGGCCGATATAAATATCCAAGTTTCAAGGCAACTCCGACGGATCAGGCTGCGCCGCAAATCCCGGCGGCTTTACTGCAACTTATTCTGCGGATCAAACCGAACGAAATTCCTGACTCTTACCATGCCCGCCGCAGCATCTCGCCACGGAATGCTACTCCGCGTCTCATGGGTTCTTGTTCATCTTGCCATGGGCTATGGAGCCATTCTAGCACTGATATTCGTGCCCTACATACAGACGCTGTGAGTGTCGATTCTCGAGGCAAGCAGTTGCATTGCTTATTGGCTTCCTGGTAGGGCTGTCTACGGGCACCACCGTGGATTTTCTGCGACGCCGAATTTCTCTTGGCCTGAAAACTATGGATTGGCCCGTGAGTCACTGTCTGTCTTCTCTAACGGCGCTGATTTGGCGGAGGTAGCTGGTAAAGCTGTCAACTTGTACATCAATAGCGCCGATAATACGACACTCGGGGCGTGGTTTGTGACCTCTGAAAGGTACTACCGCAGCATGCCCTTCCCCGTGCAGACGATCGACATTCCTGTGGCTCTAAAGCAGCGACCTACCATCCTGTTTTTGCACGGAAATCTGGCCATCGAGCGATTCCGCAGCGCATCGCTGTATACTCCGCCCTTTCGTCCCGCTTAAACGCGAACATTCTGGCAGTTGACTATCGCGGATTCGGAGACAGCGAAGGTAGCCCGACAATCGCTGGGGTCGCCTCAGATGCGCGTGCGGCCTGGGATTTCCTCTTTGCCCACGGCGCAAGACCACAGGATGTCCTCATCGTGGGCCATAGCCTCGGCACTGCCATCGCTGCGCTGCTTGCCGCCGAACTCTGTCAAGACAGCATCAATCCTCTTGGCCTCGTCCTGCTTGCCCCTTTTGCTTCACTTCGCACTGTGCTACACGAGTACTATATTTTAGGACTCTTCCCACTATTCAAACCATTGGCCATGGCCCCCGCATTGACCCGTAAGTTTCGATGATTGGTTAGATTTCTAATTGTCATTACGAACCAGGATTCCTGCTCGGGCTCGCCACCCATGCTTTCGATACATTAGGCTTGCTTCCGGTGCGTGGAAGGTGTCTGCTTGAGTCTCACTGTGACCCAACCTTCGCTGCCAGAATATCACCTCCTCCGTCCTCATCGCGCACGCCGGTAACATAAACAATAGCCTTTTTCCTGCTCTTTAATTTCTCATTCATCATCACAAATTCACAGAGGATGACGAAGCTTTTCCGCATGCGCACGCAGACATGCTTTTCGATGCCTTCTTGGAACTCATACCTGCCACTAGTCCCATACCCTCCTTCAATATGGACTCAGTCGCTCGGCAGGCAGAGCTGCGGAGAGGACTGGTTACTGTGCAGGAAATTCCCACATTTGGGAGGTTGGAGGAGGCCCAGAGCGGTGGACGGAAGTTTGCGCTGTTGAAAACTGTGGAGGGCACACACGATATTTTGAGAGCGGAGGGCGTCCAAGATGTTGTGGGAAGAATGTTCAATCTCATCTGATTGTAAGCCCTCTGTCCCTTGCATTTATCGTCCGCTTACGGTCTGAAAGTATCATTAAAGGTTGGGGAATGATATAAAGCTGACAGCTATTTGGGGTATGCGAATTGATAGACGTGTTTTATGGCTCTCCGCCCTTCGTCCCACTATTTCAGCGCCGGTCTTCTTGCTTTGGAATTCATCCTTCGCTGTGTTTGCAATACTCTCATTTCGGACAGAATTTTGAGTCCGGGTGATGAACTCGGCCGCTAAGTATTACTATGATAAGGCAGGTGTCAAACTCGAATGGCAACCAACATCCAGATCTCTACCAATGCTACTCCCGCAGGTCCTACAAACAAAAGAGGGGTGTGCGGATTAGCTCTGATTCCATTCCTACCCCACTCAACTGGATGTCGAGCCCTAAACATTCATCTGTAAAGAACCTGCACACCGAGTCAACT